AAGATGAAGAAGAAGATGAAGATGAAGAAGATGATGAAGATGAAGAAAAAGAAGAAGATGATGAAGAAGATGATGAAGAAGAAGAAGAAGATGATGAAGATAAAGAAGAAGAAGATGAAGAAGAAGATGATGATGATGAAGAAGAAAAAGAAGATGATGATGATGATGAGGAGGAGGATGAGGAGGAGGAGGATGACGATGATGATGATGGCGCGGTTGCATACAAACTGATTCTGACATATTCAACACTTAATGAGCTATGAAGTGAAGTCGCTGCATGTTTATGAATATGTATGTATGTATGTATGCATGTATGTATGTATGTATGTATGTATGTATGTATGTATGTATGTATGTATGTATGTATGTATGTATGTATGTTTGTTTGTATGTTTGATTGTATGTATGTATATACATACATACATAGGTATGTGTGTATGTTTGTTTGTTTGTATGATTGTATGTATGTATGTTTGTTTGTTTGTTTGTATGTATGGAAGTATGTATGCAAAACAACAACAAAAACAGCAGCTATAGCAACAACGTCACATAAACAACAACAACAACAACAACAACATCAAATGCACTTCGGCACTTTCTGCTAGATTCTTACATGACACACATTGCATAACAAACTCAATCACACACGCATTGCTAAGATTTGAAAATGAAAGAGAGAAAGAGAGAGAGAGAGAGAGAGAGAGAGAGAGAGAGAGAGAGAGAGAAAGAAGAAAGGGTAACCTTTAACACAGATATAGGAAGCTTGTAGATAGGTTTTCAGCTCCTCCATGCAAGGTTTGGTCTGGTCGAACTGACTATCTGGGATCCTTATGACACAACTGCTGCGACCCGAACACCTAATGATGACGACGACGACGACGATGATTGTGAGAAAGAAAGAAAGAGAGAGAGAGAGAGAGAGAGAGAGAGAAAGAGAGAGAAAAAAAGAGAAAGAGAGAGAGAGAGAGAGAGAGAAAGAAAGAAAAATTATTTCCCCCACTTATTAAATCTTTAGATGTGATTGTGATGACGACGATGTTGACAAATGGGATACTTGCTAATCATCATCATTATCAACTAAACCATCATCATCATCGTCATCATCGTCATCATCATCATCATCTTCGAACTTTTCGATCTAAGGGAGCCATCAAATTAGTTTATCAAGTGTCTCAATCGCGAAAAATAAAAAACAACAACAACAATAATAACAATATCAACAATAACAATAATAATAACAACAACAACAACAACATAAATAACCACAACGACGACAACAACCTGTGATCCACGTGACTCATGACGTCACTGTAGCATCCGACGTCTAGCTCCTTCTTCACGCAACTTCCGACCTGAAGCCAAAGAAATAAAAATTATAATAATAATAACAATAATAATAACAACAACAATAATAATAACAATAATAATAATAATAACGCCAAAATAAACTACGATTTAATAGATAAATGGAGAAATATGAATGGCCGAAGGAGCGATTGAATGAGGCGAACGAAAAAATGAATGAAAGAATGAATGAGTGATTGATTGATTGATTGACAGACCTTTATTCTTCCGTAGAGTGCTGACGTCATAATAACCACGTGACCGACAGAGCAATTAGCAATAAAAGAATCTGCCTCACAATAATCACGAATTTCTGCGAGTGATAGTGACGACAACGACGACGATGATGATGATGATGTTGACGATGATGATGATGACGATGATGATTACCTTGTAGTTTTTAAAATAGTTGATGATGGTGAGTGTGATACAATATGGTGATAACATTTTGATAAGAATCACGATTGTTTTTTTTATAAAAATATCAACAACAACAACAATATTAACAACAAAAACAACAACAACAACAACAACCAAACTCAAAGAAACAAAAACATTAACGAGCCAACAACAACACCATAAATCGCTGAACTAAGCAATCTTCAAAACGCCACAGCAACAGCAAACAACATTAACATTATCAAAAAAAACATCAACAGCAACAACAACATCATCAACAACAACATCAACAACAACATCAACAACAACATCAACAACAACATCAACAACAATAGCATCATAAATTGTTGAACTGAGCAATCTTCAAGGCGCCATAATGTTGCTCTTTTTCTTATCTCTACTTGACATTTGTCGTTGTTTTGTATTTTTTGTATTTTTTGTATCTTTTGTATTTTTATATGTTTTTTGTATTTGTTGTATATAATTTTAATAATTTTTGTGTATATTTAGAAGTTATTTTCATGCTATTTGAATATTTTTGAATCGTTTTGGTATAATTTTGTATGCTCTTCGTAGTTCTTGTATATGTTTGTATTAAATTTTTGTATACTTATTAAGTTTTTTGTATGTTTTATAGCATTTTTGTATGTTTATGTGTGTTTTGGTTGTGTATTTATAAAAATTTTGTATAGTTTTGCATCTATTGTATATTTACGAAGGCATCTTTCAATGGTTTGCTCTTGAATTGTTTTTATTTCAAATTTGTTTTATTTATTCTTTTAGTTAGCATCTGCGAAAGAAGTATGTGTTTGTTTGTTTGTTTGTAGGTATGTTTGTTTGTATGTATAAATTTTTGTATGTATGTGTGTAAGTATTAGTAGTATTAACATAGGCTTTTTTTAAAATCATCTCAAAAGCGCTTCCAACAATGTTTAACGTTTCACTGATAGAAGAGATATGTCTTTAACAGCTTCTTGATAGGGAGACAAGGTTATTGGAAGTAGAAAAACATGATGAATGACACTGAACAGTTCAACATCAGACATCAAGTAACAAGTGAATTAACACTTTGATTTGCGATTACGTCGGCATTCAACTGGATATTCTCCAACACACAGACATGCAGGAACCGCTGCAACAAGCACGAAATGTGGTTAGCTGCGAAGAACAGTTCTCTGCTGTCGCCTGATCTGACGCTGATTAATTTACATTTAGAATTAAGAAATTTAAGGGTGTTGGGGTCCATCGGACGGAGAACCTCGATACATATTGGCAAGAATTCCATCGAGGGGAGGGCGTTTTCATATTTTTTTCATTTTCTCGTCCGCTCTCCTGGCCGCGGTCAAACCCCATTCCTTACTTGTCAGATTTACATATCGTTAGGCAAGGGTGCCAGGGACTGTACTGTCCCAGGCTAAACATCTACCGCCCCTCCAAGGTCTTAGTGGGCATCCATCGGGACGCTTAACATCGGGCGCTGAAGTGCCGGATGGCTCATTGAGAACTGGAATTGAAGCTTTGGAGAAGAGCCGGCCAATGTAGTCGTTTGATGTTGAGTGACGTAGTTGACGGCTGTATGTATGTATGTATGTATGTATGTATGTATGTATGTATGTATGTATGTATGTATGTATGTATGTATGTATGTATGTAGGTATGTATGTAGGTATGTATGCTTGTATGTAGGTTTGTATGTATGTATGTATGTATGTATGTATGTATGTATGTATGTATGTATGTATGTATGTAGGTATGTATGCTTGTATGTAGGTTTGTATGTTTGTTCGTTTGTTTGTATGTACGTATGTTTGTTTTTGAATTTACTATCATACTGAACTCAACAACATCATCCAGAAAATCACTTTCTAGAGCATAAAAACGAAATAAAAATCAATCAATGAAATTGCCAAAACAACACAAACGACAAACAATAACAACACAACAACCACAACAACAACAACAACAACAACCACAACAACAACAACAACCACAACAACAACAACAACAACAACCACAACAACAACAACAATGACATCAGCAGCAGCACAAATACGACAAAAACAACAAACAAACAAAATGACAAACAAACAAATAGAACGCGGAAAACCAAAACACGCCACAAATACATTGTGACCCAATAAACATTTCGCAATCAAATAATGACAATCTCAATTTTATCAGCTAACATATCAAACATACATACATATATACAAACATACATACAAACAAACAAACATACAAACATTTACATACATATATATATATATATATATATACATATACACACACACACAATACAAGCATACAAACCTGCATATATACAAACAAACAACATCAATAACAGCTACTCCATTACTCTTGGCATCGTTAGGAATTGTGTAAATGAAGAATGAGATGAATTAATAAATAAATAAAGGAACGAACGAACGAATGAATGAGTGCATAGATGAATGGATGAATGAATGAATGAATGAATGAACGAACGAATGAACGAACGAAAGAATGAATGAATGAATGAATGAACAAATCTGTAAATGATTGAGTGAATGAATCAATAATTTGGGGATTGAATTATTCAATGAATAATTCAATAAACCAATCAAATATTAAAACGAAGATTGAGTTAATGAACTTTGAAAAAATGAAGCAGTTAACGAACGAACGAATGAATGGGTGAATGAATGGAAAAATGAATGATGAGAAAAATAAATGAACAAATAAAAAATGAATGAATGAATGGAAGAAAAAGTAAATAAGAGCGCAAGCCCTTAATTGCACGTCAGAATGATTTCCAAACTACTTGCTATGCACAGTTTCGCTTCATTGCATCAGATTGTATGTTTGTCTGTATGTATTTGTTTGTCTGTATGTATTTGTTTGTCTGCATGCATTTGTTTGTCTGTATTTTGTCTGTTTGTTTGTATCTTTGTTTGTATGTTTGTATGTATGCTTTGTTATATTGCTCGCTCTTCGCCATTCTACGATGGTGACCGAACGAACAACATAGTTTGTTTGTTCTTGGAGAAATTCTTTCTCTTTCTGTAAACTCGCTCGCTCAACGTTAAATAACTCGAAATAGTTCATGTACGTAAAATAATGAGAGATGACTTTGGGTGTGTTGAGTATTAGTTAGCGTTTTAAATGTTATAAAGTTTAATAATCGAAATCGAACGAGAAACGACTCACCCATTATTGTTAATAATAATTTTTTATAGTTTAATATTATAACAAAACTTAAATTGTAAAATTGAATACGAATGAAAAATAATATAAATAGCAACAAATTAACAACAACAAAAACATCAACATAAACAACAACAACAAAAACAACATACCTTTGTTGCTCTATTTGTATGCATGAGTATGTTAGATTTAGACATATTATAGCAAATAAATATTGTATATGGCTCTATCTTTATTGAATAAATTATGCTTAGCATATATATATACATACCCAAAACCCAAAAATTATATATATATATATATATATATATATATATATATGTATATAATGTATATATATATATAGTACTACTATTGACGACCATAACAAAAACAATAATATAATAATAATAATTATTACTATTTTAATTATTTCATTAATAATTTTTAGTTTTAAAAACATATTAATGATTGCATAATAAAAAAAATGTTGAAACTGAAGAAATATAACTATATTTCTGTATTCGGCGATGCGGTGAAAATTTAATATCATTTGTTTGTATTGTTGTATGTTATTTCGTGTGTATGATTGTATGTATGTTTGTTTGTATGTATATATTTATGAATGTATGTCTGCATGTGTGTGCGCGTATGTATGTATGTATGTATGTATGTATGTATGTATGTATGTATGTATGTATGTATGTATGTATGTATGTATGTATGTATGTATGTATGTATGTATGTATGTATGTATGTATGTATGTATGTATGTACGTATGTATGTACGTATGTATGTATGTATGTGTGTGTGTAATGTGTGTGTTTTTCAGTATAAATGCTTTTAAAACGCAAGTATGTGTTTCTTGGTTGTAACATTTATGTATTTGTTATCTTTGTATGCGTGTGTATTATCTTTGTATATTTTGTTTTTTTTTTCTTGTTTCTATGTACGCACCAGTCAAATTTGAGTCGTTAGTATCTGATACGATTTGATTGAGCAATTACTTAATGTGACTCTCTTTTTCTCGGAGTTAACTACAAATGAATGATTGAATGAACGAATGAATGAATAGATAGAAGATGGATTGATGGATAAATGATTGAATGAAAAGTTTGGTTAACGAATGGATAAATCTATGAATGAATAAATGAGTATATTAAAACCCTCGCGATGGATGGACGAATAGAATGACTGATGAAGAAAAAATGGATAAATGGATAGATAAACAAACGGATAGAAGTATGGATAGCTGGATGAATGAATGAAGCTGGATAGATGGATGGAGGAATGATGCAACCAGCCAATCAGACATTCAGCTCATTAGTATTCTTCATCATCACTGCTTGGTACTAGGAATTTAAAACAATGCTATTGCGTAGTAAAGTAGTGGTTGTAGTTGACGTTGTTGTAGTAGCAGCATCGGCTGCAGTAGTAGTAATAGTAGTAGTAGAAAAAAGTAATAATAGAAGCTGTTTTGTGTGCATTTCAATAAGTTTCATTATAAGAATTGTGAATTAAAATACAACAACAACAGCAGCAACAACCATCATCTTTACCATCAACAACTATTCTTACTGCTACATATACTAACAAGTCTTACTGCTACTATTATTACCTCATGACTATCACCAACAACAGAAACGTGGGTAATAACCAACTTTGACGTTTTAAGATTCATTAAATCTTAAATAATGAAGCAAAGGACGTCGCTTTGAATAATGTTGGAGATGCGAAAAGTGAACTGAAGATCACCAAGCGGAACTCATTGAAATGAAGGAAAGGCTTCAAAGAATGGAAGAAGAGGCTGAAAAGTTGAGGAAAATAAAACAGGAGTTGGAGCAGATGATGGGGGCTTCAACAGCTGTCGACAAGTCAGAGATCGACACCAGATCGACGAATTATGCCAACATTTTAAAAATTTTGGTCCCATCATCAGGGCGACCATCCTTAAAAACAAATATAGTGGCAAGCCTAAGGGCTTTGCCTACATTGAATTTAAGGAAGCCTAAGGGCGTGGATCGGGCACTGCAACTCGACGAGTCGCTGATACACGACAGGGAAATATGGGTTGAAAGGAAAAGTACAAACATGCCTGGACTGTCCACAACAAACAGGAGGCCCAGAGGAAGGGGTGTAAGAATCAGAGAAGGCGTGATAACGAGTCACAATGCAACTTAAACTTAAGTGCCATATTATAATACTGATGATCCTCAGTATGTAGCATATCCAGGAGGCCCAGAGACAGAGAGGCTGTGGTAGAAATACAAATGAGTCAAAATATGCCTCAGTGTTATACACAAGGGCCGACAATTGCAACCAGTGTTCCACAACAGCATTAGCCCCACGTAGAAAGAAAATTTAATAGACCACGGAGGACATCACGATACAGTTCATCCCTATCAGGAACATGTTTCCTTTCCAAGAAAGCAAATGAAGTGCTATATAATTGATGATTTTATAAGAACAGATGATAGTAGCCTACAATGGTCAGATGTTTTTAACTTTATCGATGCAACTAAACATTCGCAAATATGTATTAATTTGTCACAATTCCATTAAAAATTTTGAAGTGAAATTGCCACTGATATCGTCTGTGTTGGTTAGAGTTCAGTTTGAAAGTGTTAACAAGACTAATGCAATTTTTATATACGCGTGAAATATAAGCTTGACTGGTGGTAAACGAACTATAGCTATATTTAAATTCGCTACGAGTGTTTAGTGGAGAAAGCCCAGGTGCAAATTTAGTGCACAGCATTGGTTTTGGAATTTCTTTCAATATGCGTATGCATAGTTAAACCGATCGAATGCAGAGTTCTAAGTGAGTGTGGTATATGAAATTAACATTGTGTTTAGTTGGCGTGAAATAATTGAAATATAACTGTGAACAAAATGTTGAAAATTCAAGAAATTAACATTCTGACTTTTGTGTATTTAGTTTTAATAGCGTTACTCTTAATACTACGAAGGTTGTGTTATGTTTTTTGTTCAGTTTCACAGCATAAGAAATTTTGAAACCAACTCGTCATGTTGTTGTTTTTTTTTTGAACGATTTGAGAATGAGGCCCGAGGGATGTGTTTAACTTTATCGACATCACAAAGCATTCGCATGTGTTAATTTGTGACTTTTCATTGGTTTGTCTAAATTTATCGTTAGCAAACAACATTTCATCACTTTGCAAGCAGTTTGTATTCATTTGTAATAATACAATGTCCAATAAATATGGCTCCACGTAAAAAATTGTGTTGATGTAAAATTTACACGTATGACTGTCTAATATTTTGTGATTGATGTGCACACACACACACATACACACACACACACACACACACACATACACACACACACACACACAAAATGAACCAGCGATACATATGACCTCTTGTTAAGGCTTCAGATAAAACTTGCACGTTGATGATGTTGTTGTTTTTGATGTTTGTGTTGTTGTTGCTGCTGTTGTTGTTACTGATCATCAACACTACAACACCAACAACGAAACATTAACAACGACAAAACGAGACAGCAAAATACCAAATTTCATTTAGCGTGAAATATTTCATAGAGAGTATGAGTGAAATTTTTTTTAAATTTTCGAGTACTTACACCCAAACAGCAACAGCAACAACAACAACAGCAACAACAACAACAGCAGCAACAACACCAGCAACACAAGCAGTAACAACAACAACAACATCACATCTTATACACATCTATCCAGATATATTTTTCCATTGTTGTTGCTGGATCTGACGCTCATTTTTCATAGGAAATAGGATAATAAAGTGAAAAAAAAGTTATTATTATTATTATTCGTTTATTTCTTTTTAATGCGAACAAAGTGAAGTATCGCTAATGTTTATTGATATATTTGTAAAAAAAAGTAAATGAACAAACGAACGAACAAACGAACGACTGAATAAATGAATAGATGAATGAATGGATGAATGAACGAACGAATGAACGAATAAAATATAGATAAATAATAATAACGTCAAATATGACGTTATTGCTTTGACGGTTTTTTATGATTTTTTTAATTTAAATAGAAGCATTTTCAGTTTTAATGTGGCCGTCTTCACACGAAGCTTATCTTCAATTTGTTGATACAATGGCCAAATATTATACATCGGTAAATATGCACCAGTTGTAGAAAAAAAAGTTGATTCGTCTCGTTTCATTCGAGACAAATTGCGATATCGTATCGAATCGTTTCAAAATCAGACGCTTGTGATGTTGATGACAATTGTAATGCTATACTATTGCTGTTGTTGTTGCTACATTTGTTGCTGCTGCTTCTGATGTTGTCTTGTTGATTTCCATGTTTTGTTATATATTGCTTGGTAATTGGGCAAGGTCATTGAAAGGTCATTTTGTTATTGTTGTTATTATTGATGTTGTTGTTGTCGTTTTGAATTTTGTGGGTGTTGTGGCGTTATATAGTGTTGGATAATTGACTCAGGTCATGTGTCAGAAGTAGTAGTAGCAGTAGTAGCAGTAGTAGTAGTAATAGTGGCAGTGGTAGTAGTAGTTGTAGTAGTAGTAGAAGTGGTATTAGTAGTAGCAGTAGTGGTAGTAGTAATAGTAATAGTAGTAGTAGTAGTAGCAGCAGCAGCAGCAGTAGTAGTAGTAGTAGTGGTGGTAGTAGTAGTAGCGTTCTTATTTTCAAGGAGATGTTTTATTGTTGATGTTGTTATTGATAATGCTGGGTATATTCCTTACATCGGTCAGCAAACTTTACGTTTTGGTCTACCAGTTATTTATTTATTGTTGTTGTAGTTGCTGCTGCTGCTGCTGTTGACAATGACGTCACGACCATGACATTACGACGATGACGTCACGACAATGACGTCACGGCGTCGACCCTGATGGTAGTTGTGTCAGCGTTTGTTTTTGTTACATTCACATATCTTACTTTTAACGTTATTTATTATTCCATTATCAATGGATTATTATTTTTATTGTTGTTATTATTATTTTAATTATTATTATTATTTTTTTTATTGATGCTTTTCATTTTGTTTGATATATTTATTACATTTTTGGGTATATTTTTAGACGATGAAAAAGTTATTTGTATATGTATGTATGTATGTATGTATGTATGTATGTATGTATGTAAGTATGTATGTATGTATGTGTGTGTGTATGTATGTATGTATGTATGTATGTATG